CCCCCCCCCCCCCCCATCCGCCCGCAAAACCAGGGGAAAAAATACCTAATTTACCTACCACCTCGACACCACCAACCAAATCCAAATCCTTCTAACCAATTTATCTATCTATCCTTATCTTCCCGTTCCCGTTCCCGTTCCCGTTCCCTTCCCTTCGATACACATCTCAGATTCTCAAAAATAGGATCGATTCCGAACAGTCGGACTTCGCGTCTTCTACTCTACTCTACTAGCATGGGGCATGAGCATGCAATAAATTGACTTTTCCTCCTACCCTACTGTAGTGGGTCCATCCGTCACGCAGAGATAAAGCACCCCCGGCCATGGCATCCATGGCATCCATGGTATCGCATCATATCTGCGGGACCCCATCTTGCAAATCTTGCAAATCTTGTAAATCCTTTGTGGAGAGGAGCTGAGGCGGGTATCATGTATTTCCATTTCCATGTTCTATACGAGTAAAGAAAGAGAATGAGGGAGGTAGGGGAGGGATGGATGAAATACCGCGTCTAACGAATAATGCGCTCGCCATAGGATCTAGAGTGAGATAGGTACGGGCGTTCCCAGTACTCCCGTCGCCTTACCTTGCCTTTGTCATGCGACGAGGGGAATTCTTGAATGGAAAGTGTAGGGTAGGTAGGGTAGGGGAGGATATCTAGGATAGGTAGGTGTAGATGAACAACCTTGTTCCCCTTGTAAATGGATTGTGCTAGTAGAAGTAGGATCTTGCCACTTATCCGAATGAGCCAATCAATTGTAAAGGGCAAAAAAACTCTCCTCTCTACTTACTTGCTTATTTGCTCTCTTCCTCCGTACTCGAGTACGGAGAGTAGGTAAGTAAGTAAAGTTCCAAGATGGTGCCTACAGTACATGAATTCTAAATACCTACCTACCTACCTACCTACCGCTCTCTCGCTCATAATCCGCACAAGCAGCACGGGCTACTCGTACGGAGCAGTAGGAGAAAAAGAAGGCAAGGCAAGACAAGACACCGAATTGCTTATCCCCATCAAGAATTCCGATCTCCCGAGTCGTATACCTACATACATACATACCGTAGTAAGGTCCGGGGAAGTGCTAGTGCTAAGTAGGCTAAGCCGCCCTGTGACTGGACTGGGACGAATGACATAGTTAGATAGGTGCCCCGTCGTACGCTAGCCAAAGCGAAAAAACCAAAACGATTCCTTGTGTTGCGTTCTCTGAGACTGGATAGAAGAAGAGGAAAGGACGCCGCCTTTACCCACTTTTTTTCGAGCAGACTTGCAGGCGCAGAGGTGTGTCCGCTGATGGTGGTAGGTGCTGTGAGAGGGCGATTGGCTAGGCTGCTTTGGGGCGTACCTTGTTATCACGAGGGGAGGTGGGGCGGGGATGGTACGGTAGGGCGTTGAGAGGATGAGGAGATGGGATGAAGATGAGGATGGGAGTCATGGGACTGAGCACTTGCTACGAGGACAGAGAGCCAGAGAGTTGACTGAGTGCTGTGAGTACAACTCTGGAGTACCTATTTCTAGTAACCTACGAGTAGGTAAGTAGTTGATATTGTACAATTCTCATCCCATGAAGATTCGTCTGGGACTGAGCCGACTGCTAATACTCGTCACCAACCAGCTGCACCGCAAGAATCGTGGGATCCAATAATGCCCTGTGAATAACGAGACCAAGTGGGTTCGCTGTACCTCCGTAGATTCCAGACCTCGAGTCGACTCCTGTACTCGTACGTACGGTGCTGTACCTGCTGATGGGAATGACTAAACTAGTCCCGAGTGAGGCATTCTTATGGTGCACCTGCACTCACAGGGGATTTTGGGGGTGTGTGGATGGTGGATGGTGTTATGGTGGCTCAGGACCCGTCATCATGGTCATTGAGACCAAAAAGCCAGAAGCCCGAAGCCAGATATTTCTTTCGTAACCGCAATTGCACTGACAATGACGAGTCACCCAAGTATCCATTTCTCTTTGTTCTGGATTCGCAATTCGCCATCGCAAAGGGAAGAAAAGGATTTCTCGCCGCCGCCGATAAAAATCACCAAAATCATCAGACGTAATAACTTCCAGCATACCCGCCCTCGCCCTACGCTACTTGTACTGGACTGGCACTGGACTGATCTGGCACCCGCACTAACTGGCAAACACTCGCACTTGCGCACACCATCAGCTCCTCCTGCAACTCCTGCAACTCCTGCAACTCCTGCAACTCCTGCAACTCCTGCAACTCCTGCAACTCACCTGAAAATCACCTGAAAATCCATCGCCATCGCCATCGCAATCGCAATCGCTCCGCTAGCTCCCAGTTTCTACCTAAACCCACACCCACATCACATCACATCCACACCCACACACCCTCCCGGATTCCGTCAGCATCCACACCCATCCACTCAACTCCATTCACCTGCGTCGGACCTCGCTGCTCTACCTGGACACTGCGCACTTACGGCGCTCCACCCAACCATTCCCTGTTCAGACCTGGCTGTGCACTGTGCTGCCAATAATTTGGCGTGGGACACACCTGGACACTGGAAGCCCGGAATCTAGCACCAGCACCAGCGCTGCACTGGAGACTTGACTTTCTACTCCCCCAGTCAAACACCAAACAACACCAGAAAAGCATCGACATCTTCTCCTATTTTTTTTGTTATCTCCGTTTGGTTGCTCGCGCACGGTCGGGAATTTTTGGAAAATCCCCAACGACGAACCCTTCATCAATGTGCTCTTTCTTTGCTTCCATCGCCCATTGAACCACCCGGTCAACCGTCCACCCACCCCTTTTGGCGAAGGCCCCCTCTCTTGCGCTCTGCCCCTCCTCCAACCGACAGGCGTCTCAGCCATCAACCACACCCTGTACCTCGCCTTCCTTCCCCCATTCCAATCTTGGAACAACAATTCAAACTCGGTTTCGGCCTTCCTTGCTTCCTACCTTATTCAACAATTTTATTTTTCAACCAAACTTTCTTTCACAATTGGCTTGTATCGTCTAGAATTGCTCACCTCCTGAATCCCTAAACCATCGCACCGCATTTCACCAAACACTCCAAACTCCAACATCCACCCTGTCGCATCCATCACTTGCTTCCAATCTTGCGCATCTAATTATATACGGTCAACTTCCACTTGTTTCCATCCCCCCGAACAAGTGCACCAATATTGCTTCGGCCCTCGGATTGGTGGCTTCCTAGAGCTTCAGGAGGGCCGTCTTGTCCGAGTAATTGTTGAACATGGCGTCGTCAAAGGTACGGATATCTGAGATCAGCGCCCGGCTAATGTATTTATAGAACCACTGCTGATCACTCAATTTTCTAGGAAATCCAGCATTCTTCGAGGCCTGTGGGCCAACATCGATTGTCGATGTCGGCTGCCGGCTCTCTTCCCAAATCTCATTCTCGAAATCATTCCCACTCGGCATCGTCGGGGTCACTCATTCCAAGCCATAGAGTACAGAGGAGAAAGAGCAACGCCAATGTGAGCAATGTCGCGGCAATGGTAAATGCAGTCCGAGAGTCCGGGGATACTTCCTTGGGAATGCCAATTTCCAGTCGTCGAAACACCATGTCCAAGAGTGCATCTGCTAGATCTGCTGCCCTCGGGAGCCTACCTTCTCCACCAGCCAGCTTGCCCAGTCATAAAATGCGAATAGTCTCGAGCGGAAAATCGGATCGAGGCGAGAGTGCCATTGAGGATGATTTGGCAGAAGATATGGAGGAGGACGAGGATGATACGGGGTTCAAACAATCGCGGGTGAGACGTGCTAGTGAGGGTCAACATCTCATGAAGGATGGCAAGAAGGCCAACGGCGGAGACCTCAAGTGTGACAAGTGTGGAAAGGGATACAAGCATAGCAGCTGCTTGACCAAGCATTTGTTTGTGCCCACTTCCTTTCCTACATGCCCCAACTGGGTTTCGTGACGTGAATTCGGCTGGGGGATTCGCGTTTCGGGATTTTTGAGAGAACTATTATTAACGTTTTATCTGCAGATGGGAGCATACTCCAGAATGGTCGTTTACTTCCAAACTACTGATCTCTAAGCACCAGCAAGTGCAGCTCTTGGAAGCCGCCTCTGTCCTTTTGACCATGAATCAGGGTGGCACTACACCACCAGATTCGGCCAAGGACTTTCAAAGTGATCAAGATTCGGCTTCTCCTGCACCATCAGGATCCGAACTCAACGATCGGGCGAGTTCTGCGGATACTACACCGCCGCCAAACATGGATGTATATCGAAGTGGTTCCCATAAAAGATATAGTAGCGGATACGGATATTGGCGCTCATACCAATCTGCCTCCTCAGCCCATTCTGTGAATGGCGAAAGTATGCCACTTGGATCTGACTTTGGATATCATCGCCAGCCAAGCCATGAAAGACGTCCACCGTCAGTGGGCTTCAATCGTAATGCGGAAGACGATGGCCTTGCAGCCGCAGTTGAACTTTTGTCTTGCAGTTTTGGTAGCACCGGGACACCAAGAACACTTCCAGTGACCCTTCCGGAAGATGCGCCTCCCGTGCCTCACATTCCGGCGCAGTATTTGGATGGATTTTCAGGAACTACCTTGACCCATAGTCTTCATCCTCAACAACCAGAAAGCTACACTCGCCACCGACATCACCTTGATGAGGATGTTAAGATGGAGGAGAGCGAGGAAAGCGTGATGGACGATGATGACTATGATCGGAGATCGAGGGCCCGCAGTGATGAGGATGATGATGGGGTATTTGGCCGCATGGAAGAATAAGCTCCTTTGAGAAGCTTTTCTTACCAAGTGCAAACGCCCGCGACAGTTGAAGTTCCACATCTTCACTGGACATGATTTCTTTTGTTGTAATTTGTGTATCGCGGCGAGCAAATGTCTCCGCAGCCGACTTTCAGCACCGAAGAGTGGACTAGGCAGTAGGTATGCAACATGTCCACGAGGTTAAAGTGATGGTCGTTCTCGAGCGTCGAGCAAACGCAAACGCCACAAGCATTTTGTAAGGGAAGGCAGGGACGGGTACAGGTTTTCTTGAATCTGAAATGTCATATAGTACGACATCTGAATTGTATGAAACGTATGAACAGATGACTTGATTGCCTGTCAACACGTAGAAGTGTAGAAGTGTAGAAATATTTGAGAGGGGGGAATTGAATGTATACAAATTGTATTGCCACCAGGTCGACAACCAACAACTCGAGTTGGTGTAGTGTTGTCGCGTAGGATGCATGTAATGATGAGAAGAATATGTAAGTAGAATCAAAAGATGATAGTAAACCGAGAGAGAGAGAGATGTGATATTTGAGTAACTTGGCGGTGGAGACATGAAGGAAGGATTTTGCGCCGAGAAGAAAAAAGTAGAAATTGTTTTTTTAAAGCTTGTCCAAACAGGGCTGCCGATGACGTCCCTTCGCCATCCATCATGTTTACTTGCAAGAACCAGAAGAGCCCTTGAGACTCACGACGACCAACAACACTCGACCACCACGACTCTCCTGCCCGGCGCGCAACACGTCTCTCCTGTCTCTCGTCTGTTGTATCTTCTCTGTGTCCTCCAACGCCTCGAACGGCCCAGAATGACTTCGCGCGTCTCCAAGAGTCCGGCGCGTGCTGTGGTGCGTCGCGAGGATGATGCCCCTCTTCGCGCCAGCAAGCTGCCAGCTTTTGTGCGGTTTCCTCTTCTGGTGATACTCAGCTTGAGCATGTCCTCCTTGTCGCATGCGTTGCGGGAGACGTATTTTGGGGATTCGGGGGAGATTGGAGCTCTTACTCGGAGATATGATAACACCTGGAATGACATGGCGGCGGCTGCGGGATGGAGATGGTAGGTTTGCCTCGGGCATGAAGAATTCCTAGATATACAGAGTGTTTGCTAATTCGATTCTAGCTTTCTATTGGGATTGGGATGGTTTGGGGATTACGATTCTTATGATACTGCTGCCTTGAGCCTTTTGGCATATGGCCCACATGTTAGTAGGCCCATATCTGCTGGAAATCTTTATAGCATGCTAATGTTCCTTCGTGGTAGTCTTACCTGTTGAACTCTTTTTACAATCTCAATACCGTAACGGTTGTAGCTCCATTGCTCATCAATATCCTCTCTGTCGCGCTCCCATTCCGTCTCCTCCGACCACTCTCGAGACCCCATGCGACGAGCGCATCACCTGGATCCGTCTCGGTGCCAAACAAGTATATTGTTACGGATTCCAGCATTCAGTTTCTTACCACTGTTTTTGCTGCCATGATATATGGCACTACACTATTTACCGCCTACTCCACGTTCCTTCCCACATACCTTGTCACCTACTTTGCAGATATCCCAAGCGTAGAAGTTGCACATAAGGCCACTCCGATCACCTTGTTCCCCATTACTCTGGTTTTTGGTCTGGCAGCGAACTCGCTCATTTTCACTCCATCGATTGCGACTGATGCCAAGAGGACGGCTTTTGACCCGAAAACTACTACATTGATGGAAACGTTTTGGTACAATGTTTGGGGCTACAATACCAGAACGAAGACGGTGATCAAGAGAACCGCTACCTTGGCTTTGATTAGCGGGGTAAATACATTCGGGAGTACGTACAACACCATAGGGGTTGAGGCTATGGGAGCCTTGGCATATTCACTAGTGTGGGTCACAGCAGGTGTGGTAACAGGTACTTCACTGGGTTTGGTTGCAGCAGTGTAAAGAAGGTGAATGGTTGCGAGTTGGGGATGGTGATGGTCACGTTGGTGGTGTTTGTTTTTCATTTTCATATGAGGCATATTCGTTGGGAGCCGGATTTCTTCAAACGAAGGAGGGATTTTCCTTGGAGGAGTTTTGATTTTTGGCAAAGGCGGCGCGGCAAGGACAGAAGGAATACTGGACTGAGCAGGCGAGGTGGATGTTTGTAGGTTGTACTAGATAGTTGGTTGATTTACTCATACGAGTCCCGTAGGAATAATATTGTAAGATGTTGGTAGCGAATGACTAAAGTCCATCCTCATTCACCATGTGGCTGATCTGAAGCCAATAGAAAACAAAACAACCCCCTCGGGTATTGTATGCGAGCGAGTACCTCCTTATCGGCAAACGTCAACAACAATACTGTAGCTCTACCGAGCAAGGTTACGTCAGGACGAACACGCAGGCATAGCATACAAGTACAGTAGCAGACTCAGACTCGGACACGCCTCCCTGAAACACAAATGGGAAGGTGAGATGCGATGCTCAGTCGGGTGACCACTGACCAGTCCAATACGATACGATACGGAGGACAGTCAGTACCTTACCGGAAACTGGAACGTACCTAACCCACCTAATCATACCTATTACCTGTGGCCCGGTGCCTGTTGTGGGCTCTACCTGCCATACGACCATCCCCAAACAAGGTGGTCCAGCGATTTAAGATTTGAGGAGGACGGAAATAAACATTTGATACCAACCTCATTAACCTGCCCTGGGGCTCATCGCCGCTCATCACTTACATAACATTTCAAGACTCCCTTTCGCTTCAGACTCCCTTTCGATCGCTCGTCGGTCGGATCGGCGCTCCTACAACACACCTTCATCTCTCATCCGCGCCCCTTATCCCACAGACGAGAAAATGGCCTTGATGGCTGCCGATGCATCGCGACGGTGAGTCTCCTCGATCTCGTCCTCATCCATCACCTTACCTACACTTCTCCATCGTCTCCATCGCGCTGCCTCACTATGCTGCTGCTGAGTGAGGCAGTTGTGGATCATTCACGTGGCGCCAGCGCTCACCACAGCGAATCCCAGGGCCGCTAACAGGGTAGCCTGGCCTATGGGACTGCGCTGCACTGCGCTAGATCGCGTTGCCGTAGCCGACGATTTCGCGTCTGATCTGCCCTGCACCTGGGGCGAGGGCGAGAAGCCAAAGAAAAGAGTGACATTGAGAGCACTGACTGACCGTTTTCTCCCCATAATTAGATGGCTCGACGATAGTGGCATCTGGAGCTGTCGCATCAAACTTCCACAATCCCCGCCGCTCGCGCACGCCGACTCATCCAGAGTCCCACCAGACCAACAGGCGCATCACCGTTTCGGAAACACCATGGCCCCTCAGAACCCCAAGTCGATGGACTTCCCCATCGAGAGCGTCAGTCCCAGCTCGCGGCGTAATAAAGGGAAGCTGGCTGAAGCTATCCAGAGCATGGGGAAGATGAATGGTGGTTTGCAGCTCGATCTGCCCACCGATCCCGATGCTCAGGCGACAGTCACCGATTTCCTCGACTTCACCGAATACCTTCCTTCCGATATGGTCCGGTCGCTCACGTTGATTGGGAACCTCGATTCGACCTACACCAAGGCTTCCGTCGAAGTCCACGAGCTCACCAAGCAGTACGGAGACCTGCCGAACCTCCCCGCGGACGGAAGACCGGATCCTGCGAAACTGCGAGCGGATATTTCACAGAATCTAGGAGAAGCTATCAGTGCTCGAACCGCGTCCTTTGCAGAGGCCTGTCGAATGTTGGAAAATGTCGAACGCCATTACAATCGAATCAAGACCATCCATGCGAAGCTGCATTCGATCGCAGATGCCTACCCGTCATCTCGAGAGGCTTCTCCGGTATTGCAAAAGTCCAAATCTCCGGCTGTAAGTCGAGCCCCGAAGATCACATTGCGCGTTGGTAATGGAGGGGCGCCAGACGGAGGAGCGCGTCGAGTTCGCAAGCATCGGGCGCCGCGAATAACGGTTCCGGGAGAGGTGTTGGCACCGTATGAGTTGGACTATGAGTCGTATGGTTCTGAGAGTGATGATTCGTCAGTAGATCAATTCGTTACCCCGAGGGAGACACCCGCACTGAGTAATAACGGCGGCGCTGGTAGGATCAAATTGAAGGTCCCCAAGCGAGAGCGTCCACCCAAACCTCCCAAGGAGAATCGACCTGCGGGTTTTGGAACAAATGTTCATAGCCAACTTGCTGGTATCTCAACGAGTAATGCATTGAGACTCCTAGCCCCTCCACCATCTGATGCGAAACCAGGTAGCGATCACCTCCCATGGCTGGCATTAAGCGATTACGAACTCGGCGTCTTGCGAAAGAAGATGAAGAAGAATGCGGTCTGGTCGCCGAGCGATACGATGATCAATCGGGAGCTGAAGTTGAGAGGTCGAGGGATGGAGGCGTATAAGATGGCGGTAGCAGAGGCCGAGGAGAGAGGGGAGACGATAGCTGAACCTCCTCAAATTTCCGGGCAAGTAGTTCATGATAAGGGTGCGCTGAGCGTCGAGGCGGCTCAGACAAGTTTGAAAGAAACATCTCCGGTGGTAAATCGTGGTATGAAGCTTAATGAGCAAAAGAAAATCAAGCGCGAGAACCAGAAGAAGGAGCTTGAGGCGGCGGAGGAAGGCTTTGAAGAAGCGCAACGCAAGGCTGGTAATGCAAAGGCTGCGATGGAGAACTTGTTCGGAGCTACTGCAAAAGAGGACAAGAAGAGCAACACGAAGACGCCAAGCAAAACTCCAGCTCGCAAGCGCAAGAGAGACCCAAGCGAAGCCGATGGCGAGGCGGAGAAGACGAATGGAGTGACTACAGCAGTGAAGCCGGCAGCTAGACCTTTATTGAAGAGAAGTAAAACTGAAACCCCAGTTCCTGTTCCTCAACCCATTACCGCTAAACAATCGACTCCTGCTTTGTCCGAGGCAACTCCTTCGGTTTCTAGTGAGGTAACATCAGTACCCTCAATACCTTCGGTTGTCACTCCAGTTCCAGTTCCAGCTCCTATCACAGCACAACTTCCAACTTTACTTCCGGCTCCTATCGATGTATCTTCAGAGACGCCAAAAGCTTCTTTACCTGCGGCTTTACCGTCACCCAAGAAATCATCAACTCCAATATTACCACCTATCAAGGATAACAAGAAGCCTCTAAAGAAGGAAGCCATCCGGAAGATTGAAGTGCCCACTGCAACTTCTGAACGACCTCGTCGAGGCTCAGCTGCTAATACTCCCATCACCGCTTCAATGGTGATAACTCCAACATCTACTACAGCTCCATTAATCGTCCCAGTACATGCCACGGCATCTGAAATCCTTCCCGCCAAACGGCCAACTTCATCTCGTAGCAAACCCGCGAGCGTCGAACGTGAAGCTCCTCTCTCAACCTCCATCGTCGAACGACCTCGTCGCTCCAGCACCGCCCGAAACACCCCCGCACCACCCGAAGCTCGCCAACCGAGTAAACGCACCCGACGACCCGCACCGGGCGTCGTCCAGAAGGGTTCGGAAGACTCGACGGCGGTGAGCGTCGGGAAACGTAGCTCGGCGACGCGCAAGAAGGCGGGGCCGAAGAAGGATAAGAAGGATGGACGGGAGGGAAGCGCCATCTTTGATGAGATTGATGATGAAGGGAATATCATTGATCCGAATGAACCGAGGTATTGTACTTGTAATCGTGTGAGTTTTGGGGTTATGATTAAATGTGATCGTGAGGATGTAAGTTTTTCTCCTTTTATTTTCCTTTCTTTCTATTTTCCTCCCTCTTTTTACTTTTTTTAATTTTTTCTTCTTTTCTCTAAAAATGAATACATTTGATGAGATGCGATAAGATGCTGACGATGAACCACCAAAGCAGTGTGAGAAGGAATGGTTCCACCTCGAGTGTGTCGGCTTGACGCAAGCTACTACGACGAGACGAAAGTGGTATTGTCCTGATTGTCGGGCTATCCTTGGGCTGGGGGAGGAGGGCAAGGTTAATGGTGGGGGGAGGAAGAAATGAAAATCTTCTTCTGCTTCTACTTCTACTTCTACTTCTATCTACTTCTTGATGGAATGTGTGGTGCGTGTGGTGTGTTGGGGATGGGGATTGGGTGATGAGGTTGTTGTGGGATTGTGGATTGCTTGTTTGGGCTTTTGCGGTGCTTTTTGTGGATGGTGTTGTGTGCGTTTTTTGGGGTTTGGGATGGGATGGAGTGTATGGATGGATGGGAGTATGCGAATGGGATGGAGTGTATGGATGGAGGGATGGAGGGTTGGAGGGAATGGGAATAAGGCGTTTTGATCGATACACAATTCCTTTCTTTTACTTTGCATTTCACCCCCACCCCCACCCCCACCCCCCCGTTTTTTTGGTAGAGAG